TACGAGACGCGGCAAGGGGGGGGGATGGGGGGGGATGTGGGGGGAGGGAAAGGGGAGGGGAGGGGGGAAGAGGGAGGAATGGGGAAGGGGGAGGGGGGGACGGGGAGGGGAGGTGGAAGGAAAACGGGGGGGGAATGGAAAGGGGGGAAGTGGAAAGGGAGGCTGAAGGGGAGGAGGGGAATGGGGGACGGGAGAACGATGGGGGACGGAGGTGGGTGGGGGGGCAGGAAGGAGGTTTCGGATGGTTTCTGAATAGAGTTCTCTCGGGGAGCTTCAGGGTACTCTCGGAGCTTGCAACCCCGCTCCGTCGGGGGCGGGTAGAGGGGAGGAGAAGGGGCCCCGCCTTCCCTCACACATCTCATCCCCCCCATCCGTTCTCTACCGTCCCCCTCCCTCGACATTGACCTCCTCCCCACCATCCTCCTCCCTCTCCGCCCCTCCTCCCCGTCCCTTCCCGTCACCACCCTTCCTCTTCTGTCAAGGAGCCCAGTGGATACCTTCGGGAGCCCTCTCGAACCGCCCTGAACCCCCGCAACCCTCTGCGCGTGGGCCTCATGCCGGTCCAAGCTGGATCCGGCCAGAGATTCACAGCGAGCAGAGGTGACCGTCCAAAGGCATGCGGAGCGATCGTTGGGGATGGGCCGTCCTCCCCAAGACTCCGGCATGGGCGCGATTGCGGCTGCAATTTGCTCGGCTCGCCTGCCGAATAGCTGGCCTGCCGATGCGCCAGATCAGTCGGAGGGAAGGGCACGACCTCCTATCTCTCTCTGACCACCGCCACGAGGAGGAGGATGAGGAGGCGGAGGAGGAGGAGAGGGGGAGAATGCGGAGGGGGAAGGAAGAGGAGGAGAAACATGTTGACTGCCCCCCATAAGGAGGGGAGGGGAAAGACAAAAACAGACGAGAGAGGGAAAGTTGGGGTGGGTGCTGGTCGGATGAAAAGCGGGGGGGGGTGCCCGAGGAGAAAGGGGAGATCGCGGATGAGGGATGATGATGAGAGGAAAAGGTGGATGAGGCGGAGGAGGAGTGGGAGGAGGTTGAGAGAGGAGGAGGGGGGATGAGGTGGAGGACCAGTGCAAACCCAAGCGTCACCAACGACGTTGGAATAAACCCTCCCTCCAAGCTCCCTCCTCGAAGGCCCTTACAACAGTTCATTTCCACTGATGGAACTGTCTCGTTGGAAAACACCCATTTGAAGACCCTGAAACATGCCAAAACATTGGTTTCGGGATTTCAATGCCACGAATCAGCCGGACTGTTGCGTTTTGACGATCCTGAATCGTGCCAGAACATCATTCCTGGGACTTCAACGCCGCGAATCAACGTAACTGTTGCGCCCTCAACAATCCTGAATCCTTACAAAAAGGCTATTTCTGGTACGCTGTTCGTGGGAATCCGTGAAACCCGGGCAAATGTTCAAAACGAGTGCGCGCGGCGCTCAAGCGAAAACCACACTTTGAAAACCACCCGCCGTCAATCCGAGCTCTTGCGCATGTTTGAAACGAATGCGCGCGGCGCTAAGGCGAAAACGGTCTGCCCTCTATCCGTGAAGTTTTTGCACATGTTTACAGCAGGTGTGCGCGGCGTTAAGACGAGACCCACATTTTGATAACCACCCGCCCTCAATCCGTGAAGCTCTCGCAAATGTTTAAAACGAATGTGCTCGGCGATCAAGCGAGAACCACATTGCGAAAACGGCTCGCCCTCAATCCGTGAAGCTCTTGCAAATGTTTACAGCGAGTGCGCGCGGCGCTGGGGCGAGATCCACATTTTGAAAACAACCCGCCCTCCATCTGTGAAGCTGTTGATAATGTTTGGAAGTTTGCTGCGTCGATCCGAAAATTTCCCCAATTTCGCCGCCACGCTCGCCGCGGCCATCTGGGGCGGCGCGCGCAGGATAAGACCCGCGGGGCCCGAGGGCGGACGGGGGCGATGTCGCGAGGGCAGAGCCGGCGCGCCGATGGGCAGCCCAGCGCCCCGTTTTGCCAGAGGAGCCCAGTACAATGCAAGGGCAGAGCCTAACCCCCGCCTGGGGTGGCGGGATCGGGTTCCCTTTCCCGATTTAGAATTTTTTATTCCCAAACGGTGTACTGACCCGAAATGAACAAACGGCATAGGACGTCCTCGAAAAAAACGTTCGGGTTCAGTCATGCGACGACCCGAAAAGTTTACCGGCCGACCTGAAAGTGGCCAAATGCCATAGGACTCGCGCTGGACAAAAATCTGGTCCGGTTCGAACGACCCGAAAATGCACAAACCGCATCGGACTCTTTGCAATCAGTGGCAGCAGCGTGGAATGGGGACTCCCCGCTGCAATGTCCCGGCGGAAAAACGCGGGTCACGCCCGGAGGCCGCGAGGAGGACGTCCAATTCCACGCCCATATCCTCCTTGACGTCCACCGCCTCATCCTCCTCCGTCCTCCGCAACAAGCACGTGCTCGCGCGCCCTCTCGAGCAGCCCCATCGTCCTCCTCCTCCTGGCCATCCTGGTCTTCCTCCTCCTCGTCCTCCTCCTCGTCCTGCTGCTCCTCCTCCTCCTCCTCGTCCTCCTCCTTTTCCTGCTGCTGCTGTTCCTCCTCCTCCTCCTCCTCCTCCCCCTCCTCCTCCTCCTCCTCCTCCTCCTCCTCCTCCTCCTCCTCCTCCTCCTCCCTTAGCTCCACCTCGTCCTCCCCCCATCCTCCTCCGCCTGCTCCTGCACCAGATCATGACTAAGACGCGGCGGGCTGCGTGAATAAGACGGCGCCGATGCGCCTACATCCGCGGGCAGCTTGCGCGCGGGTGAACGCGCAATCGATCCCCGCGGCATCGCCCCCCCAACTTCAAAGTAGGCGGTGCAACGGACCGCTTCTGTCAAAGCCTCGTCTCCCCCTCTCGGGGGCGGTTAACCCACCCATCCCGCTAGCAGACCGTGGAGGCCTTGGATAAGGAAACCACTGTCTGGAACAGTGTGGAGATCCACTTGCGTGGAACGGAAGGGGGGGCAGAAGTTGTCCGGCCCCAATCATTGTGAGCTCTCTACCATCCCTCCGTCTCCTCTCCCTCCCCCCCCCACTTCCTCATCCTTTCCGCCTCCCTCCTCCCTCCCCCCCACTCCCTCCCACCCTTCCTCCGCCTCAGATCCCCTGGAGGAGGACGGCAGGTGAGCGGTGCGGTTGCGGTTGCGCGCCCGCGGGCGGGTCGAAATGTGTCGCCCAATTGGAGTTGCGGTTGCGTGCCCGCGGGCGGGTTGAAATGTGTCGCCCAGTTGCAGTTGCGCGCCCGCGGGCGGGTTGAAATGTGTCGCCCAGTTGCGCTTGCGGTTGCGCGCCCGCGGGCGGGTTGAAATGTGTCGCCCAGTTGCGGTTGCGGTTGCGCGCCCGCGGGCGGGTCGACGTGTGTCGCGTAGTTGTGGTTGCGCGCCCGCGGGCGGGTTGAATGTGTCGCCCAGTGCGGTTGCGGTTGCGCGCCCGCGGGCGTGTCGCGGTTGCGCGCGCCCGCGGGCGGGTCGCGAGCCAGTTGCGGTTGCGGTTGCGCGCCCGCGGGCGGATTGAAATGTGTCGCCCAGGCGCGGTTGTGCGCCCGCGGGCGGGTCGAAATGTGCCGCAATTGCGGTTACGGTTGCGCGCCCGCGGGCGGGTTGAAATGTATCGCCAGTTGCGGTTGCGCGCCCGCGGGCGGGTTGAAATGTGTCGCCCAGGTGCGGTTGCGGTTGCGCGCCCGCGGGCGGGTTGAAATGTGTCGCCCAGTTGCGGTTGCGGTTGCGCGCCCGCGGGCGGGTCGAAATGTGTCGCCCAGTTGCGGTTGCGGTTGCGCGCCCGCGGGCGGATTCAAATGTGTCGCCCAGTTGCGCATGCGCGCCCGCGGGCGGGCTGAATTGTGTCGCCCAGGTGCGGTTGCGGTTGCGCGCCCGCGGGCGGGTTGAATGTGTCGCCCAGGTGCGGTTGCGGTTGCGCGCCCGCGGGCGGGTCGAACTGTGTCGCCCAGGTGCGGTTGCGGTTGCGCGCTCGCAGGCGGGTTTGCGGTTGTGCGCCCGCGGGCGGGCTTATTTGTGTCGCCCAATTGCGGTTGCGGTTGCGCGCCCGCGGGCGGGTTGAAATGTGTCGCCCAGGTGCGGTTGCGGTTGCGCTCCCGCGGACGGGTCGACATGTGTCGCCCAATTGCGAGTGCGCGCCCGAAGGCGGTTTGAAATGCGTTGTTCAAGGCGCCCTCCTGACGTTCAGTCAGTCAATCAGTCAGTCAATCAATCAGGCAGTCAGTCAGTCACCGGCGAGCACGGAATTTCACCCGGCTCCGCCGGCAAAAAACATCATTCTCGAGGTCTTCGGGTCCACTCCGAAGAAACCGAGCATGGGCAAACCGCGTAGAACCTCCTATCAAAACGGTTTCTCGGTGGTTCCGGGCCTCGTCCGAAGGAGCCGCCGATGGGCAGACCGTTCAGGACTGCCTGCGCAAGAAACGGTTTCCCGGGTGAGCCATTGTCAACGGGAGCGCGCCCCGCGCGGGATCAGGGTTCGCACGGGGGCGCGGTGGCTCTCGCCTGTCCAGGGGGCATGAATTGCCGCGCCCTTCCAGCATAGCGTTTGCGCTGCATTCGCGCGGCGCCGTGCTTCTCAAATCGGAATAAACTCTCGGAGCGCCGATGTAAGGGTCATAGGTGGTGAGGAAGTCTCAGACGACACGCCCAGCCCGCCCTGAAAACTGGCCTTGCGGTGCGACAGGGGGAAACGATTTACAAGGTAGAGAAAATATGATGATGAGGAGGAGGAGCCTGGCTCGTGGATCCGCTTCCCTGTGTATTAAAACTACGGGGTTCACCCACGAGGAAGCCGGTAGCAGGACCCACTTTGAAATGGATGAACTCCGGAGCTAATCTTTAATGAACTTTTGCTTTCACCCCTTTCGGAGGAGGAGGAAGCGAGAGGAGAGAGGAGAGAGGAGAGGCGAGGAGGGAGGAGAAAGAGGAGGAAGAGCGAGCAGGAGGAGAGCGGAGGACATGAGGAGGAGAGGCGGCGCCGCCCAGCGCCTGCGAGAGCAGGCGCCCGCACCGGGACCGCTCGGAGGCCGCACCGCCGTACAAGGCGACCGCCTTGCCGCCGGCACCCCTCGCCGCCGCCGCCGACGCCGGCGATGGCGGGGAGTTCGGAGGAGCGTGTTGGAGCGTTTTAGCTACCCTGAGATCCTGGCGTCGCAATGTTTCCGAGCCGGTCTTTTCCGTCCCGTTTCGGGCCTCAGGGCCCTCACGGATCGATCCGGCTCGCAAACTGACGCGCAAAGACGGGGTCTGGGGCTGCAGTCGTGAATGTTTGCGATGATGCATTTTTGTTCGCAGCGTCGGATCTCAGGATACGCCCGCAGGGCTGTGCTGCACCCAGCGGTGCGGAGAAGGGGGAGGTGGGAGAGGGGGAGTGCCAAGCGAGATGCGCTCGCGCCACATCTGACATCGTATCCCTCTCCCCCAGCCCTTCCCATTGCGCCGATGTTTTCTCTATATCCACGGAAGCGTGTCGTGGCCGACCTGGAATTTCCCCAAAAGACCACATCGTGTCAAGCGCCGTCGGAGGAAGGGAGCTGCACACATTCGAAGAGGAGCAGGAGGATGAGGGGGTGGCGGATGAGCAGGAGGAAAAGGAGGGGGAGGAGGGAAGACGAGGAGGAACAGCATCAGCAAGAGCTGGAGTGTGAGAACTGGGAGGAGCAGGATGAACAGGGGAAGGCGGATGAGGGAGCAGGAGGGGGCGACAACGATGAGGAAGAATTCGGATTTGGGAGGAAAGCGCCAATCCTAAAATGAGGCCTACGCTGCACTGATCTGAGACATTGGGGATACTCGAATTGAAGAAAACCTGTGACGTCTCAATGCGGAGGGGGGCGTTCCACTCCCCAGCCATCTTCAGGGGAGAGAGGAGTAGCATTCATGTTTGGTAATTGTAGAGGAGGGGGAGGAAGAAGACGGAGTGTGCAGTGCCGCAGGAGGAGGGGGGGAGGAGGAAGAAGAGGAGGGGAGGAGGCGGAGGAGGAGGAGGTGGAGGAGGGGGGGAGGAGGAGGAGGAGGAGGAGGAGGAGGAGAGGAGGAGGAGGAGGAGGAGGAGGAGGGAGGAGGAGGAGGAGGAGGAGAGGGGAGGAGGAGGAGGGAGGAGGAGGAGGAGGAGGAGGAGGAGGGAGGAGGAGGGAAAAGGGAGGGGGAGGGGGGAGGCAGAATGTGGAAAAGGGGGGAGTCGGAGGAGGAGAGATGAGGTGAGGAAGAAGGGGGGGGAGGACGCGGAGGAGGAGGAGGTGGAGGAGGGGGGGGAGGAGGAGGAGGAGGAGGACGAGGAGGAGGAGGAGGAGGAGGAGGAGGAGGAGAAGGAGGGACAGGAGGGAGAAGTGGAGGAAGAAAACGAGGTGTCATCGTCTCTCTCCGCTTGCTCCCGCCCTCCTCTGGCAGTCAAGATTCAGTCTTTTCCTGCCTCCCTGCCCCCACAGAGGAGGGGGCGGGAAGGACCAGTGTAAGCCCAACATCCACCAACTGACGTTCGATACATTCTCCCTCCAAGCTGTCTCTTCGTAGCCCCTACGAAGATTCATTTCCACGGAGGGAAGTGCGTGTTTGGAAAAGACAACTGTGAAGATCCGGAAGCGTGCCAAAACACAGTTATTGGGACTTCCATGCCACGAATCAACTTCGCTGTTACGTCTTGACGGTCCTGAACCGTGCCAGAGCATTATTCCTGGGACTTCAACACAGCGAATTAACGCAACTGCTGTGCCCTTACACTCCTAAAGCGCTCACAAACACATTTCTGGTACGCTAGCCCTGATCGCCCGTGATACTCTGCGACTGTTGAACACGAGTGCGCGCGACGCCACGGCGAGAACCACATGTTGAAAAAGAACCGCCCTCAACCCGTGAAACTCTTGTAATCTGTAAAACCGAATGCGCGCGGCACTAAGGCACGAACCACATTTTGAAAACCATCCGCCATCCATCCGTGAGACCCTTACAATTAAACACGGATGTGCGCAACGCTAAAGCGAGTATTGCATTTTGAAAACGGCCCGCCCTCGTTCAACGAAACTCTTGCAATCTCTTTAAACGGATCTGCGCGGCGTCACGGCGAATGCCACATTGAAAAAACGGCCCGCCCTCCATCCGTGAATCTCTTGCACATGTTTAAAACGAATATGCGCGGCGCTAAGGCGATAACCACATTTTGTAAATCACCGCCCTCCATCCGTGAAGCTGTTGCACATTTCAAGCTTACGGATCAGAAACGGTGTAAAAGTGTCAGGGCGAAGCGCCTTGCTTGCCTTTCTGACCAGCCTCGGGGTGCGACATGGAGGAGTTACTCAGAAGGAGAAGGAATTGAGGATGGACGATGATGCATGAGGAGGAGGAGGAGGAGGAGGAGGAGGAGGAGGAGGAGGAGGAGGAGGAGGAGGAGGAGGACTGTCGTCGGCAGCGCCGTCGGCGTGGGCGTCGGTGGCGTCGGCAGCGGAGGCGGTGGCGTCGGCGTCGTCGTCGTCGTCGTCCTTCCTTCCCCTCGTGCCTCTGCCCCCCCGCCCCTGCCCCTGCCTTGCCTCCTCGCCCTCCCCCTCCTTTCCTCCCCCCGCCCTCCCCCGCCTTGCCTCTTCGCCCCCACCCGCCCTGCCTCCTCGCCCCCTCCCCCGCCATCCTCGCTGGTCCCCTCCCCCTCCCTCCCCCTCTCCCTCCCTCCCGGCCTCCTTCTCCACAGGCTACGACCACCACGGCGGCGACGACGGCCGCGGCCGCTTCCACGGCCTCGACGACGGCGGCCGTCGACGACTGTCGACGACGGCGAAAGCGATAGCGACGGCGGCCTCGGCGACGGCGACGGACACGGCGACGACGACCGACGACCGACCGAAACGCGGCGCAACCGGCGCAACCGCTGCCGCGAACACGCGCTTCGGCCGCCTCGGCGTTCTCGCGCACGTGCGTCAGCCCGAAGCGAAGGCTCGCCTCCTGGCGGCCGGGGGCGGCCAGAGGCCGCCGCGCCCTGGTATCCAAAGACAAACATACGTGATTCGATCCGGGTGCTCGCTCCCACTCCCTACCCCTCTGCATATTTTCCAGCGGCCGCGCAAGGAGTATCGAAGGCCACTCCCGGCCCCCAGCGCGGGGTCGGAACGGCAGGCAGCGAGGAAACGGTGGACCAGCGGCGCCGCACTGAGACGCGACGGTGAAGAAATGTCGTTGGGGCGCGGGACTGTCGGTCCCACCCTCGACCCCGATGTGGCGGCGGACATGCTGCAGGGTGCGCGCATGGCCGCGCGGAGAAGCGAGCACGGGGGAGCTGAGAGTCGAAGTTCGCTTCACCTTCGTGAGCCCGAGCTCTTCCTTCTATCTAATGCCGGCCTCTGGGGCTCGTGATGGGGCCCAGGGGCCAACGAGACCTCTGGGGCCGCGCATGGAAGCAATGTTGTCGGAGGATGCCTGGGCTTGGGTCGGGCATGTCCTCCTGCAGGCGGATTTTGGAAGAAACATGCATGTCGTTCACTTCTAATCGTGCTCATATCTAATTGTCTTCGTTTCCAATTATTCCTGGCCCCCTTAGTGGCCAGGAAGAGACCCAGGATAGAACACCTAGAAATGGAAGGATCTTGCCCCCCAACAAAAATCAAAGACCTCTCGAATAATTCGGAATGAACCATGTGTAGTGTAGCAATAATCAAACAATAATCCCAAACAGCCAAAAACTAGCAAAATCGTCACCACACCGTTTTTGTTTTTCCCCCTACTGTTCTGAGGAGCACTCCTCCTGCAGCGGGACATGCCCGACTTCTGCCTGGGTGTGCCGAGGCCGCTGCCGTGGCTGCCGACCGACCCGGCGACGCCGCCGGCGTAAGGCCGCCTGCAGCGGCCAGCGAGGGCCCACCGCGAGGCCGCCAGCGGAGGCCGACGGCGGCCTCCGCCGGCGCGGGCCGCCGACGCGCGCGGGCGCGCGCGCGCGCGAGAGAGCATCGCAGCGCGGGAGGCGCTGTGCCGGCCTCGGCTGCACGGGCGAGCGAAGGCGAGGAGGAAGGAGGAGGGGGAGGAGGAAGGAGGAGGAGGAGGAGGAGGGGGAGGAGGAGGAGGAGGAGGAGGAGGAGGAGGAGGAGGAGGAGGAGGAGGTTGAGGCGGAGGGAGGAGGGACTGGACAGGAGGAGGTGGAGAAAGGAAGAGGAGGAAGTAGGAGGAGGAGGAGGAGGAAGAGAGCAAGGAGGAGAGGCCGACCCCTCCCCGAGATCCTGGCGTTGGAACTTCTCAGAGCCAGGCCTTTTCCGCCCGGCTTCGGCGACCCTGGGGACCTCCTCGATCGATCCAACCCGAGAGATGACGTATATAGGCAGGTGGGGTCTCGGGCCCCCCCGGCCTGGATGCTCTGCCGGTGCTGCAGTCCCTCGCAGCGTCGGACCTCCCAGACCCCCGACGTCATGAATTTTTCATGACGTCGACCCCCAGAGGTCCGGACCCATTCCCCGGGACCGGTTTTTCGTCCTGAGTCGTTTTTTGACGGTCCCGAGGGCCGGTAAGGGCCCCCAGAGGCCGAAAATCATGAAAAACCTCGCGTCGTGATTTTTTCATAACTCGAGGGGGTCTGGGCTCGGGGCTCGCGTGCGGCTGCGGGCAGGAGGGCCCCCGGCCGGGGCAGGAGCGGACCCTCCAGGGGGGCGCGGCTCTCGGGGGGGCCGCGGGGGGGGGGGGGGGGGGGGGGGCAGGGCAGGCCCGCCCGCCCGAGCGCGCAGGCCAGTGCCGGGGGGGGAGCGGGGGACCCCTCGTGGGCCCGCGCCAGGCGGCCACTGCGGCTCCTCCTCCCCCTCCCTCCTCCCTTCTCCTCCTCCTCCTCCTCCTCCTCCTCCTCCTCCTCCTCCTCCTCCTCCTCGTGGTGAAGGGGATCTGGGACACACAAATAGATAGACACAAATAAACAGGTTCCCCATATTTTCTTGTATTTTCTGGGTTTTTGTCTTCCCCCCCACTTCCCATATTTTCCCATATTTTCTGGGGGATCGACGATGAATTGTGTCTGTGTGTTTTTTCCCTCCTGACGCTCGTTGTGTGTTTTTTCTCCTCCTGACGTGGGCCCGCGCCAGGCGGCCCCTGCGGCGAAGGGCCGTCCTCGCGCGCAGCCGGACCCGGGACACGCGGAAGGCGTCCGAGCAGGCGCGCGTCGAAGAGCGGCGGCGGGGCCACGCGGCGCATCCTCTGTCTGGGGTGCTTGTCCGGCCGCTCTCAAACAGAAAATGCCCCCATGCCCTGTGCACGATGCATGCTCTACACTACTGCCGTCTTGGGCTCCCCTCCGTTTTGAGCACGAACCCAAGAAAGCGCATCTCAGCAGGGGCCAGCGGTCACAACGGTACAATGCATTTCCGCCCCGTTTGTGACACGAGCCGCTGCCGACACAGCTTCGGCCTCCCGACGAACCGTGCGGCGCAGAATGCCACAGAAGCCCAACGCGCCGCCCACTCTGGCGGAGACGAAAGACTCGGGTACGGGGGGCTCGGCTTGGCCTGACGGGGCCATCATGACAATGACGAGAACCAATCTGTAGCTTGACGCGAACTCCCGCTGCAGACATCCCACGAAGACCGGACCCTCGACATCCTGGACGCGCTTGCCAAAAAGCGTGGGCAAGCCCGAGTGCCGGCTGACTCGAGCTGTGGCGCTTCCCCGCCTCTCGCAGGGCCTTGAGCAAGGACCGACCGTCCCGGCATTCCTATCGTCCTTCCACGAAATGTTCTTAGAACCCCAATATGTTCGAAGAGCAAAACCAATGTTCTCAGAACATTAGCCCGACGTGTCAACACAAGACAGTCCCAACCAGAAACGTTCCAAAAACATGTCGTGGGAACCACAAAAGGTTCTTAGAACTTTTTTGGTGGGGCCATAGGCGAGCCAGGACGCTCCGCCACTGCTTGCGGGCCGCGTCGCGGGCACCGCCGTGCCCGGCCTCCTCGCGGTGGGTGCGCCGCCGGCAGGCGGCAGGCGGCCGCAGGAGGCCCCCCCTGGGAGGCCCCCTGCGCGCGGCGGGGCCTCCTTGGGGAGCCGCGCGCGAGCGAGCGGGGAGGCGGCGCCCCGGGCGGAGGGGCGCGGGGCAGCCGGCGGGGGGGGGGGGGCGAGCCGAGGGCGTCGGCGCGGGCTGTCCGCGAGGGCGAAGGCAGTCTCAAGTCGGGCCTGTCCCCCCACAGGGGGATCTTCGACGAAAAAATAAGAAGTACCCCCAAAAATAATCGAACAAATAATCCAACAAATATCCCAAAAATAGGCAAAACATAGTCTTGGGGTATTTTTGTTTATTCGTCGAAGATCCCCCTGTGGGGGGACACGCCCGATTTAAAGGTAGTGCAAACGGAGAGCGAGGGTGCACAGTGCGGTCGGGCCGCCGAACGCAGGAAGGGCCAGGACGAGGAGCGGAGCCCCGTGTTGGCCCCAGAAGAGCCAGCGTGCGCTGGGAGGGCCCCAAGGAGGAGGAGGGGGAAGAGGAGGAGGGGGAAGACGAGGAGGAAGAGGAGGAAGAGGAGGAGGAGGAGGAGGAGGAGGAGGGGGAGGAGGAGGAGGAGGAGGAGGAAGAGGTGGAGGAGGACCCAAGGAGCATCGAGCCCCTGGCGTGCCCAGGCATTTCCTTACGTCAGCGTCCTGACTGTCAACGTGCAGGGGCCTCGGGCGGCCATGCCAACACTTTTCTTCGAGCGGGGCGCGGCCAACAAAAAAACGTCAAGGATGGGCCGAGGGGAAAGGATGCGAGGGGAACCTTGGAAAGTCGCTCATCCTTATTATCGGTGTTGACTGTCATTACCAGGAACGCACAACTCCAAACATCATTTCATTATATGTGATTCCTTGGCCATCGCTGTCGTGGACTCGCGCTTCGATTTTGCGCGACGGCACTGCCGTCACGACAGATGTACGTGCTTCACTTGCGCGAGACATGTCTGTGTTTACTCGAACGACCTGCTGCCAGGAAGAGCTGCTGCCAGGAAGCGCTGTCTGGACGTGCCTGGATCGGATGTGAGGCGGGCGAGGGCCAGCCCGCGCGCCGGGAGCGGCGGGACAGAAAAGCGGGCGAACTCGCGACCGAGCCCGCGCCCCGCACCACGGGAGGACGGGCCCCGGGGGGGGGGGGGTGGGAAGAGGCCGTCGGAGGCGGGGAAACCGGCGGGAGGGGGCTTGCCTGGGTGGGTGGACCCACCGTGGGATCTACCTGTGGGGGGGTGGGTCCACCCCGGGATCCACCTTTAGAGGGCGGGTCCACCCCGCCTGGGCATTCCGCTCGAGAGGGCGTATCGGCCTCGGGATCCACTCGGGAGGGTGTTTCCACCCAGGGGTCCTGAGGGGGTGGGCACCCCTTGGGATGCACTTGATGAGGGAATGGGCCGACTTGGAGATCCGCCTGGGAAGGGGGATCCTCAGGCAAGGGCGGATCACTCTGGGGGTCCAGACCAGCGTCGTCTTGTAAAACGCGACGGCCCAATTTCCCGACCTCGCGTCGAAAGCCCGTTTTGGACGACCCGCGACGAGCAGCTGGTCCCAGGCATGGGGTCGAGAGCTGCGGCGGGCCCACGCCGCAACGACCAGCGCGGCGCCTGAGGTCTGAATGCACCGGCGGACAGAGGGAGCCACGCGACGCCCGCCCCGTACGATCGGGGCCCCGTCGGGGCCCGGGCGTGCAACCGCGCGGGCTCCAGAGAGAAGCCGGGTCGGCCAGAGTCGGCAGAACTCGGCTGACACATCGAATCGGCAGGAGTCGGATCGGGCGCACTCGAGATCAGAATCGCGCATCGGAATCTCCGCATCGCATCGGTTCGAATCGGCAACCAGGATCATCAAATCGAATCGGGTCGGCGGAGTCGGAATTTACCTCTTGTCCCCGACGAGTGGCAGAGTGAACATCAGACGGGGCAGAGGGGCAGGAACGGAGGCAAGGACGAGGGGTTGGTGGCGCAAGGAGGTCCCGACCCTTTCCACAGGGCCAGTACTATCCGCCGGGACCCACTTTTCAAGGACCCAGGGCCCAACAACGGGCCCTGGAGGCTGCAACCGAGGAAAAGCGCCAGGAGTGACAGCAATCAAGTCCTCGAAATCTGGGGGGGTTGGCGGAGCGCCGTACGGATTCAGGAGCGAGGGGTGCTGCCGCTTGCCAGGGCTCCGGGCGCTTCTCGGAGGGCTTCTATGCAAGAAGCGGCGGGACAAGGGCCCTCCTGCTCGAGCACCCGGCTCTGCAGCCGGACCAGGGGCGTCCCGAAGATCACGAGCATCGCCTGGGCCGCGGGAGGCGCTGGACCCTGGCAGCCGCGGCCGTCGGGCGGACCAGCGACGGCCACGACGACGCCGGCGACCACGTCGACGACCAAGCCGTTGCCGACGCCGACGGCGATGCCGACGACGACCATCTTCATCCAGCCTCCCGCTTCCCTCTGCCGGGCGGCGGGGCCGCGCGCGCCAGGTTGTAGATCACCGCGTAGCCGACCATGGTGGCGAACAGGGACGGCGACGTCTGGAACAGGGCCTCGGCGGAGGGCGAAGAGAGGGCGAGGAGGGCGGCGCAGGCCAAGAGGTGGGAGGACGAGGGGCCTGCGGAGGCACGACCGGGGGAGGCGGGGGAGGAAGTGGAGGACGAGGAGAGTAGAAGAAAGGGGGGAGGACGAGGGGGAGGATGGGGGGAGAGGACGAGGAGGCTGGGGGGGAGAAGGGGAAGGACGAGGCGGAGGGGGATGAAGGGGAAGCTGGAGGAGTGGGAGGAGAAGGCGCGACAGGAGGGGGGAACAGGCATAGCAGAGGGGGATGAGGATGAGGATGAGGAGGAGGCGGAGGAGGAGGAGGCGGAAGAGGAATAGGATGATGAGCAGGAGGAGGATGAGGAGGAGGAGGAGGATTATCTAACGCACACTTTCAAAAAGGCAGTGACTTTAGGTACGCGCCTTCCACCTATTGAGGGTGTGCTGAGCCGACGGCGCGGCTGCAGCTTGATCCTTTCCTGGGCCTGCTGCTGCCTGCTGCTCTGTTCTTCAATTTACTGTCTTTGTTTGTTCGCGTGTTTCGTCCTATTATCGGCTTCGGATCTGTCTCGCCGCGCGACCGACCGACCAGTGATGATGAGCAGGAGGAGGAGGAGGATAATCACAACGTAGAGTTGTTTCCTACATACTTGTCCCAACCATCCTGTGTTGGGTCCTCGTTTTGACGACATAGCGCCCCGCGTCCCTCTCCTTCTCTCCTTCTCCCCCTCCTCTCCATCCTTACCTTTGCTGTCACACCCCCCCACACATGTTTCTTGGCCCCATTGGGAGCCCCACCGAAGGCCGCACTCGTAGGGTTTACATGCGCCCACTGCACCCATTTCGGTACAACCCTCACACGTTTCGTGGCCCTGTGAGGAGCTCCACGAGAAGGCCCTAATGGCAAGGCTTACATGCGTCCGCGCGACCCGTTTCGGCCCCCCCACACACACGCACGTTTCGTGGCCCCATGGGGAGCCCCACCTAAGGCCCCATTGGCAGGGTTGAAATGCGTCCGCGCGACCGATTTCGGTACATCCCACACACGTTTCGTGGCCCCATAGGGAGCTCCACCGAAAGCTCCAATGGCAGCATGTGCATGCGCCCGCGTAAATCATTTCGGCACACCCGCCACACGTCTCGTGGCCCCATATGAAGCCCCACCGAACGGCCCCAATGGCAGGGTTTACATGCGCCCGCGCGACCCGTCGCATCTTTCGTGGCCCCATAGGCATCTCCACAGGAAGCCCCAGTGTCAAGGTCTGCATTTTCGGCCAACCCATCGCACGCTTCGTGGCCCCACAAGGAGCCCCACCGAAAGCCCCTTATGGCAAGGTTTGCACGCATCCGCGCGACACATTTCGGCACACCCCTCACATGTTTCGTGGCCCCATAAGGGGCTCCACCGGAGGCTACATTGGCAAGGTTTCCATGCGCCCTCGTGGCCCATCTCGGTACACACTTCGAACGCTTTGTGGCCCCATAGGGAGCTCCACCGAAAACCCCAACGACAGAGAATACATGCGTCCGCGCGACACATGTCGGCACACTCCTCACACATTATGTTGCCCCATGGGGAGCTCCACCGAAGGCCCTAGTGGCAGGGTTTACACGCGTCTGTGCGAGCAATTTGAACAAATCCTCACACAATCCATAGGGAGCTCCACCGAAAGGCCCCGGGGGAATGGTTCACATGCGCCCGCGCGACCCATTCCGACACACCTCTCACACGTTTCGTTTCCCCAAAGGGAGCTCCACCGAAGGCCCCAGTGGCAGGGTTTACGCGCGTCCGCGCGACCCAGTTCGGCATACCCGTCACACGCTTCGTGGCGCCACAGGGAACTCAACCGACCCGCTCGAGTTCGGTACACCCCTCAGACGTTCCGCGGCTCCGTAGAGAACCCCACCGAACGCTCCAGAGGGCCAAAGTTTACATGCGCCCGCGCGGCCCAGTTCGGAACATCCTTCACACGCTCGTTGCCCCATAGGGAGCCCCACCAAAAGCCCCAGTTGCAGGGTCTACTGCGCCCGCGCGGCCAATTTCGGCACACCCCTCACACGTTTCGTGGCCCCATGGGGAGCTCCACCGAAGGCCCCAATGGAATGGTTCACATGCGTCTGCGCGATCCATTTCGGCACATCATTGGCACGGTTCATGGCCCCCAAAGGAACTCAACCGATCCGCGCGAGTTCGGTGCACCCCTCAGTTCCACCGAAGGCTCCAATGGCAACACTTACGTGCGCCCGCGCGACCCATGTGAGAAAACCCCTCACACGCTTCGCGGCTCCACTGGGCGCTCCACCGAATCGTGTCGGGACGCCCGTCGTAAGTTTCGTGGCCCCGTGGGGAACTCCACCGAAGGCCCAAATGGCAGGGTTTACATGCCTCCGCGCGACCCATTTCGGCACACCCCTCACACGGCTCGTGGCCCCATAGGGAGCCCCACCGAAAGCCCCACTGTCAAGATTTACGTGCGCCCGCGCGGACCATTTTGGCATACCACTCACACGTTTTGTTGCCCCATGGGGAGCTCCACCGAAGGCCCCAATGGAATGTTTTACATGCGCCCGCGTGATCAATTTCAGCACACCCCACACACTTTTCGTTGCCCCATAGGGAGCTCCACCGACCGAAGGCCCCAATGGCAGGGCTTACATGCGCCCGCGCGACCCAGCTCGGCACACCCTTCACACATTTCGTAGCCCCATGGGGAACCCCACCGAGGGCCCCATGGGAACGGTCTACATGCGACTGCGCGACTCATGTCGGCACACCCCTCACACGCTTCGCGGCGCCATAGGGAACTCCACTGGATGGAGGCAGGCTTCTTAGAAGGAGGCTGCTTCTTAGAAGGGGTCGGCCCTACATCTACAGACAAGGCCCGCGTCTTCTAAGAAGCAGGGGTGCTTCTAAGAAGCCTTCCCCCCTCCCCCATACCCCCATCTACGCGTGGCCGACTCTTGCACGTACGCCCCCCCCCCCGCCCACACACACACACACACACACACACACACACACACACACACACACACACACACACACACACACACACGCTCGATGTCACAGACCCTTTGCGCATTGCGAGCAAGCGGCGGGTGAAACCGCAGGGCAGTGTGCACCGCGGTACGACTGAGAGCGACACGATGGCCTGCGAGCGCCTGAAAATTAACACAGTATGTTTGCAACCCGCAGACGGTGAAGTAGACTGGTTCCCGTCGATAACACAACAACATGCGAACACTCCGATATGGACAACAATGCTCCGCACACGTTAGACCGTGACCTGCGAGCACCACACAATGCTTGCGAGCACCACCGTGAGCTTGCGAATAACAACAACAACAACAACAACAACAACAACAACAACAACAACAACAACAACAGCAGCAGCACCAACAACAGCAGCAGCAGCAATAACAACACACGTTTGCACAACAATATGCCCGACCTTGCCATTGCCACGACAACCTGCAACCACCGCAATGAATGTGAACACCACAACAAGCCGTGAGCATCACAACGTGCCTGAGAGCACCACAATGCGCCTGCCAACAACAACACTGCAAACATGCACAACAACATGCCGGACTTTGCCATTACCGTAATAATCCTCGTTCGCAATGCCTCCGAACACCACAACAGCCTGCGAGTTCCACGACTTTGTTCAGAAAACCGCGCTGCGCCAGCACATGCCAACAACATCTCTATGTACAGCATTATGCCAGACCCTGCCTGCACAGGAATGCGAGCCAGCGCCCCCAAAGCCTGCGAGCACCACGGTAACCAGCAATCGCCACAACGTGCGCACGATCACCACATTGCGCCTGCGAGCCGCAACAACACACGTATGCACAACCGTACACCTGACCTTGCCCGCACAACACTCGCTGGCGAGCTCCACAACCTGGCCACGGACAGCACGGTGCGCATGTGATGTGTGGTCAAAAGTGTGCTGGACCTCACCCGTCGCACACTAGCCTGCGCACGCCGCAGGATGCCTGTAGACAAGACAGGACTCTGCACAAGCCGCGACATGCCTGTGAGCGCCACGCGCAGGTGTAAACAACATACCCCCCACTTGTCTACACCAGCCTATGACGAGCTCCCTTTGCCGCCCTCCCTTGTCCTCCCCTTCGTTGCCGCCCGCCGCGATGGGCTCGACGCTGGCGTCAATTTTTTCAACATCAGCAGGGGCCACGTTCACGCAGCTCAAGGGGGGGGGGAGTCATCGACCTAGAATCGGCGATACATCGCCAACATATCGGCGAGCTGGCCCTGATGGCGCATCCACGAGCTCCTGGGCAGGGTGGGCTATCAAGACCCAATCGGCGAGGAGTGTACGATTGCGGGTCGATGCGTCCCCCCCCCCTGAGCCTATTCCTGCCCAACGCTGCTCCTGACTCTAGGGGCATTTTTGTTCTGCTGCATGCGATCGCACTCATCCAATCAACATTGCGTACCCGCCGTGCCCGACTTGACCGTCAGAAATGCTTTGAGATGCTGCTAGGTCCCACTGTCCAGAGCAGCGTGCATCTACGCCGAGACGTGATACACACCGCGCCACTGAGGCCCTAGTGAAATATACCCAACAAGTATTAAGACGCGCGTGTCACCTGCCCCGCAAGAATCCCTGGCTTGATCCACCAGAGGCCTCCTAGAAAGGGTCCGACGAGATGGAATCGGAAGAATGCACCGCACCGCCACTCCGCGACCCACCCGCGACCCAACCCGCGACCCAACCCGCGACCCACCCGCGACCCACCCGCGACACAACAACGACCCATCGCAACCCACCCGCGACCCATTTGCGACCCACCCGTGACCTACCCACATTAGTTTAACGAAAAATTCGGCGCCTTCGGCGGGCTCGTTGCATACTTTGTGAAACTTCGGCGCCTGCGGCGGGCTTCTCCTGAATCTCGCAGAGTGCGGACGTCTCCACCGCCCCCTCACTCTTAGCCGCATCTGCGGGGTGCTACGCACATACACATGTACATACATACATATGTGTGTACACGTCTGTGTGTCTGCCTGTCTGTCTGCCTGTATGCATGTGTGTGTATGTAGGAATGTATGTATGTATGTATGTAT